TCTTTCCGTTCCGCCTCCCCCCCTTTGTCGCTTTTTTTCCCTAAACTTTTCCCCGTTCCGGCCTGTTTTCGGCGGCTCTCCCGCCGCGGGAGGCCTCTTGCTGCCGAGCGGCCTCCGCGAGGGCCTTTCTGCACCCCGCTTGTCCCGGGGCTGCACCGTGAAGCAGAGGCCGCTGCTTCCCGAGGCCCCTTCCCCCGGGCAGCCCCGGGAAAGCGAACGGCTCCTGGCTCCCCCCGGGCCCCCGCTGCCGCCCTCTCCGTTCTCCTCGCAGGGGTGTGAACACCTTTTCTCCCGAGGGGAGGCTCTTCCAGGTGGAATACGCCATCGAGGCCATCAAGGTACCGCGAGCGCCACGGGCTGTGCCGAGGGCCACGCTGCCCTCCCAGGGCCCCTCTCGTACAAGAAGCCTCTGCTTGGCCAGGAACACTGAAACAAGGAGCACAAAGCACCTTCCCGAACCAGAAACCCAACACACCAATCGAACGGGGCAGGTTTTGTTAATTTGGGCGCTGGTTTTTGCTCTCGCAAGGCAGGTTTTGGCCCACTCCCGAGGGTAATGCGCAGCGCCGGGCAGAGCAGCCCGCTGGGCCGGGGGCTGTTCTTGTAGTGCCTTTTGGCCGCTTGTTGCTGGGCAAGAGCTGGGCCACAGCTCTGCTTCCTGCAGCTCTATCCCCCTGTTTTATAGCTCCCGAGGAGTTAAACAGCACTACAGCTCAGCACGGGAAAGCAGGAAGAGGTTACCCGTGGCAGCCCACACCAAAACCAACATGATCCAAAAATGCTGCTCTCAGAGATGCTTCTCTTCACTTCCCGAGCTAACGCAGTGCTGCTTTCTGGTCCCTCTGCATTATGAATCTGGAGGCTCCTAGAAAACAGCAGCTTTTCCCTCATTAGTACCAATATGACTTTTTTATTTTTTTTTAGCTTGCTGTTATTGTAGCTCGGAGTTGATCACCTTTTGCTCAGGTGAATTTTAAAACCTGCTGCTAAAGGTGAGAGGGAGGGAGTCCTTGAGCAAAGTAACCTGCATCTGCAGAGCTGATGGGCCATTTTGGGGCATTAAGTGTTCAAATAAAAGTTGTTTTTTGTCCCTGAGGACTTGGGAGTTGATTGGGAGAAAGATCAAACCTGAGGAAAAGAGGTCTACAGGTTTTTAATGCGAGTGATGAGGCAAAAGAACTGGAAAGGGGCCTGTTTGGCCTGGGAGGAGGACTGCGAGCTCGATCTTCCCCGTAGTCATGATGTTCATTGGGGCACTGCTTAAACACAGAGGCAAAAAACCCAGTGTTTATTATGAGGGTGTGGAGAGCTCCTGCACGGATGATGCCGCCGTGCTATTTTTTTAGTCAAACGCTTCTGCAAAAGCAGAAATCTGGGCTCTTCTGGCTCTGCTCTTTTTCCAGATCAGGTGCTAAGGTCACCAGTGCAAACGCTGCAGCTTTTCCGACACTCCGGGTGCGCTTCCTAGGGCCTTAGGAGGAGCTTTTATTGCTTTGTGATAGTTTTATTATAAACAGACATCTGAAAGGGCGCGAGGAGCCCTTCATTGCCCTTAGGTGTGTGCTCAGCTGGGTGCTTGAAGGGTGGCAGCCCTTGGGCAACATCTGGAAACCGCCTGTAGCTGCAACCGGCAGCTTCTCCCCTGCTTTTTGGTGCTTTTTCCTGCAGCCTCAGCTCCCTTCTGAAGTAGCGATCGCCACCTGGAAAGAGGCATGTGTGTGTGTGCAAAATACTTACTATAC